AATGTTCAAAAAACCACCAAATTTTGTTTGTCATACTTCACATTGCTGTAGCCCTCCTCTCACCCTCTGTCCAAAGCGCTCCATTTTAGCTCCCTTTTGTGGAACAGTTTTGTCACTTTAAGACCCCATTCTGAAAAGAGTTAATAGCAGACTGCATATTTTGTTTCAGGGCATGGCCAAGCTAGCTGTGAAGCTGGTCTTATGCAAATGTAACACATGATGGCATTGATAGGTAACAGAAGAAATACCTGGGCTTTAAACAAGTGCCATTTTTAGGGAGATAAAAAGCAGTTTTTCCTGTGGGGAAGACTAAATCCTGTTGACTTTGGGCGTTATAAATTTACAGATCTTTACCTGTACAAGAAAGCAGCTAAACCCCATATAGCTCAACATGTGCTCTCTTAGGAACTGACACAGTTCAATCACCTTTTATCATTTTCAAATCTTGAAAAACTCAGACATCCATCCGAAAGGAGGCATTCCTCCTCTGCTGCTGCTGCTATGGTCCATGTCTACAAATCATTCAATCAAAATATATTGTAAAATGATAACAAGGACACAACATGACCGGGTGACTGGTCGTAAACCTATGCCCTCATATGCCTTTTTTCTATTTACATTGTGGTGCAATTCTAAATTGTCCGTAGGTGTGAATGTGAGTGTGCTTGGTTGTTGCCAAGTGAGCAAAGGTGTGTTCCTGATAAAGCTAAGTGAAGTAAATCTTTAAGCTGTGCCATAAATATTAGTGTAGTTTATTCCAGTCTCACCTTGTGCAACAGCGAGGTTATTGAACGTAAGGTTACACATTTAGCTGCTCATCATTTGGATAAGATAATATGTCATACAAACTTACAGCTTTATGTCAATGATTTAAGACAATATGCTGACCTCACTACATTTGTTTCAGACAGATGCACACTACATATGTATATTTTTTTAGAAACTGTGTAACATGAAATGTATCATTATTTAATTGTAGACAGAAAAAAAGAAAAACACATCATGTTCATATTGTTGTTTGTTGCCTAGCAACAACATTGCATTACTATGTGTAATTAACACTTTAATGCCAGACATATTATTGTGGGTTTATTCCTGCTGCAAATATGCCTTTACTAATTTAATCTGAAGAAAGCATCTTTAAAGACTTAAAGTCTTTGAATTGGGCAACCCATGCTGGCAGTAACTGTCCATAAGGGACACTGTAAAAAACCTAAGTGATCTTATTTTGTCCTCAAGCAAAAGGGAGAAAACTTTCTATTGGTTTATGGCTTTTGGCAGTGTTGTTTCACACAGATCTACAAGCAGTGGTTTGTGAGTGCAGAAAAGCAGTCTGACTGAGAGAAGGCACACTGTAAACTCAAGCACAGGAAAGTTGTGCGGCAACACATTTTTTGAGGGCACTGAACAGTTTTGAAATATTTTTGTTTTAGAGTTAGGAATGTACATGGTCTAGGTGGACTGGTCCGGGTGAAAGAGGGTAAAGGTGAATGAACCTCTGAACCACATTTTTATGGGTTTATTGACACATAAACACCCACGCACAGAGATAACAGACACACTTTCCAAAGCCTGCAGCGTCCTCACCCATAATATCCACTGAGGGATTGTAAGTCAGTCTATCTCACACCCAAACAAAATGGTCATAAACAGTGACAGGTTGTGTGTCACTGCCTCAAATCCATGACTTCAGTATGTTTTGTTGGGAATCTGAGGATGTGAAGTGCAGTTTGTGTTTTAGAATCCAGAAGTACAAATAATAGTTTTTGCAAGGCATGTACAGCATATTTAAACTCAAGCTTGAATTACAGTTTGTCCAGAAAATATGTGCAACAAAATCTATGATAGGCTGCTTCA